TTCTGGTAGCTCATTGGCCAGGCCGCCTTATGTTTGACACCCCTGTGTTTAATGTTTTGGCTGCAGGAATATCCAAATCTCTGGGGCAAATAAAGAGTATCTTATCTTTATGTGGCAGTGATTGGAATGACATCTTTTGCTACTTTATGAATTCAAAAATATTGAATTCAGAATTCATTCGTTCAGTAATGAAAATGAACATTTCTTTCACTTTGTTTATGGTCTGAGGATCTACAAACAAACACGGTGTAGGAAGGCATGCTGTTTTCCACCTGTGCTTCTTGTGGTCTCGGGAGGAGCTGCGGCGATCCCGGCTCTTCCTGTCCCGGCTACGGCTGCGTTTCTCCCGGCTGCGGCTACCTCGGTCTTTGCTCCAGCTGCGATGCTTGTCACCTCGTCCGGGAGATCCGCTGCGACTCCTCTTCTTGTGCCGCTCCCTCTCTCGCTCTGTGAGGTCAGGAAAAACACGGGATGACAAACACGACAGAGCAGCGGTGCTTCTTTTTTGAGCGATAAAACCAAATGTTTTCAGGCTGTACCGACACCGCTTTACTCTGAGAGAGGTTCAGGTACACTCCGAATGATTTTACTCGTCCACCTCACCTGAGATCAGCCTGGTGCCCAGGAAATAAAGCTAAGTTGACATCTCTAGTTTCACAGGAGTTTGCCCGGAATATTGGAAAGCTTCAATAAACTCAGAGTTCAACATAAAAATTTTCCCATCCAGGCCAGTAGATCAGAGTTTTACTGGCCTCTTCTACTTACCGGCAGCTTAATCTCAAAGAATATTACTGAATTTATCAGCACATTTAGGGGATAATATAAAAGTATAAGAGAGGAAAAACATCAGCTAAAGCAGTGCTAGAGCAAATACTGAGAGCGGTGGCTGGATTTAAAGATACAGACAGTTTTCATTTCTTCCTCATTCAGTTGGCTGTCGTGTCATCGCCATCAGTGACCAACCAGCCCTAACCTGCTGCTCTGGAGATGGACAACAAGGACCTTGTTATGGACAAACTTTAAACAGATGTTTCTTTTGTACCTTAAAGACTTGAGAGATAAAAGACTTTACACATATTCAGACAGACAGCACAAGGTTAGAGTCTCTGCTGATGAAGTCCTGAACATCAGGACTTCATGTGAGGACTCAGGGCTGTGTGTCGGACAGGGTCGTCTGCAGTACGGGGGCCCCACGGGGAACGGTTCTGGCTCCGTTCCTCTTCACCATCTACACTGCAGACTTCTCCCACAACTCCACCCAGTGCTTCCTGCAGAAGTTCTCTGATGACTCTGCAATAGTCGGCCTCATCGCTGATGGGGACGACAAGGAGTACAGAGGACTGACTCAAGACTTTGTGGACTGGTGCCAGCTGAACTACCTCCAGATCAATGCCAGTAAAACCAAGGAGCTGGTGGTAGACTTCCGCAGGCACAAGCATCCTCCACTGCAACCACTGGACATCCAGGGTATGGACATTGAGGCGGTGGACAAATACAGGTACCTTGGTGTTCATCTGAACAACAAACTGGACTGGACTCATAACTCAGACGCCCTCTACAGGAAAGG